ACAAAATTATCCAACATCCGAAAAGAACGTGAGTAGTCCGTTACATTCAATAAACAGTATTGCGGATTAGTCTGAAAGCCAAAACTGTCCTATCGTCTCCATACTGATATTACTCTGGCCTTTTTGTACACATCTGTAGCGCATTAATGGCTCAGCAAGCTACACCAAAGTAGAGTCTTAGTGAAATGGCTTAGTGCCGTCCTCTATGAGGGATAACTTGATAACTCTGTGAGTCATCTTACTAATATCCCAATCCTCGACTGAGCCCGTTCCCTAGTGAAGTTCGCTGTCTTGGTTATCGTTATGTCTGCATCTTCCTAGTAGTGAGTTTCTTCTTCCATACAAGTACAGTAAAAATAAACAATCTGGGTTCAATACATATACATCTCATATATAGGTATAAAAAGGTGCAGAAGTCGAACTAGGAAAACTTACATAAAACGAATCACTGAAAAATGTGAAGAGATGCTCATACCCTGCACGGAACGAATGATACTCCCACCGATCAGCATTCACTCTCTGAAGAGTGCCGGGAAGTTCTCAGTCAGTAACTCTTTGATTGATGAGACTATCACTCGTGCGGTTTCAAGGCAGATAGAGTGTAAGCAGCTTGCTGCTCCGATGGATTAAAACAGACTATATGTCTTGCCAGTTACATTATCTCAGCACATGGGCGTGTGCTATTTGCCCACTGGTCAATCCAACAAACTACAACATAGTTGATTTTCCGTAGTCTCACTCATACCGCACGCAACAGACAAGCAACACCTGGAAGTACAACGTTTCAGGCAAGCATTCAGGTTGTGAGTTGAGCCGGTGAAGGTTTGTCGATAAAACCTGGGTGAGGCGAATGATCCATGGCACAAATGTGACGTGAGCCACTCCCCAAGGAGAGGAATTTTCTGATCCAGTGACAACAACTAGTTGGTGCTACCATGAACGAATTTTCCACGTAGATATGAATGAGTAGACAGCAACCTTTTAATCAAACCATGTTCTTACCCAAGTGAAAGACAGTAATGCAGGCATTCTCGCTACACTCTACTGGGTGTAGCAACGATCAATAAAGTGTTCGCGACACATCGATTACTAATGGGTAGAAAGTGAATTAACCCTCGGAATATTATCTAGGCAAAAACTGTAACACGTATCCGTTTTGGGAATCAGACCTGAATCATATGAAGAAGGTGACTGGAAGACATCGTACGATGTCTGTCTGCTAGGTATATCTGTTCTAAGTAAGATTTGTCCTTGTAGATATTAAACATTAATTTCAACCCACTACTTAATTAGAACGGCTTTATTGAAAGTTCTCACTTCCATGTCTCTTTACTCATAACACCATGAGTCCATATAGCTGTTTCAACGAAGCAAACCAAATTTGAACTGAGATTAACATAATGATGAAAAATAAAGTGGAATTATTGGTAGCTACCTATCTAGTCCAATTTTACTGTCCTGTTAAAATGAAATCCCAAGTTGTACTTGAGAATGTTGCAGCTGCAGAGAACAAGGGCATACCTATCTGTTTATATTGGCGGGCCCCGTGGTCATTGGATGACGCGCTCTTTTGCGCCGGGGTTTCCGTAAAACGCGAACGCGAGTGAGCTTTCATCACTAATGACTACATTCGAGTTTTCACTTATGGCTATGTGAATCCATGATAGCTTTCTCTTTTCATGGAAAAGATATACGCTAAACGTCGACGATCAGGTAGCAAACAACCGACCAAAACAGTCAGCTTGGGCCACGATGAATAGCAAATTAACAGTCACCACTAAACCATCATGTTGTCCCCAAACCGACTTCGGAGGCGTGACATGTTGGCCATTATGATCTGTCAGTTCATAGTAAAAATCCTGACAAATGCACAGAATGATGTACGCAGTTTTAGCCATAAGAAACAGGGGATACTCAATCTGATCAACCTGCTGCTGTTTTTTCATTGATGCGCTCATCTGTGTGCTGGAATTCTATCCTTAGTGTGTGATGTGCTATTCAAAATTTGCCAGTGTTTAGGGCGTCATACCAAAGACTGTTGTCTGCACACCGTACATGTAAATTTCCTAAAGCCTAGATTCTCACCTGCCTCCATGCTGGTATCAGCTACTGGAGGTTAGAACCTACCTAACAAAGCGACCGGGACCGAAGACTGGGACCTTGTCATTCTTGCATGTAAGCATGTCAGTGGCAACCCCTTACATCAGTTGGGGGGTCAACCTGCTCTCTTGGCCATCTTACGTAGGACAGACTGTGTGGTAGTCAGTTGAAGCCCATTCTTTTAGATTATCCAATATATTAACCGCTGTAGCACCACATTCTTATTCAGCATTCTTACTCCAGAATTTTACTAACAAGGCAGGTGATGGAGACGGACAGCGGCACAATCCTAAGACCTTCTAATAATCTCAGACCCTGGTGTTCACAACTTTGTCTAGTATCGGAGGTAACGATTCTACAACAGAACATCCACTACGAGTCCAAGTAGCAACTTTGAGTGCAACGAGTGACTCGAACATGACGAAGTGACAGATCCGCCTGGGAGACGTTGCCGCTTGAACCCGGTTCCAATGTGTCAAATCATTTCTTTGCGCGGACGAGAATTTCCTGCAATGCCGAGTTTGCTGTACACGGCTTCAGGGTGCCCATAGGTTTACCCATTAGTTCTGGTTCTGTAACACAATCCAGTGTCCAGTATCTGATCAATAATATTCACACACTACATCGATAAAACCTGGCCGTCTGCTGCTTGATTAAACTGCGTGCGGTGCCTACTGTATGTTGCAATACTGCATTGGGTCTACAGGATAACGTTGAACCTCTGATACATTTCAGTGTCCACTATCACAGCAATACATGTCTATAGAAACATCAGAATCATTTCCATTTTGGTCTAGCGTTAGATATGTGTCGCGTACATCCCATCCCCAAATATTTTGGGAGGCGCTTGTGTTGTATCCCAGCTCGATACTTAATCCTTCCTAAATACAATGTTCTGCTACTGATTCATAACGTGTCACCTGGTATCACACGTAGTTGGAACAAGAACGGTGAAAAAGGCAACATCTAATGCCATCACTCAAACCAGCTCAGCACACCCGCCCGACTTTACATACCAACCAAGGTGCGTGGACTCCAATGGTGAACATGTGACTAGTAGTGGTCATCTAGTGAAGAGAAGTATTGTCACGACAACTTCACTATGTGCGGTGGCCGATTGTCACTGCTTGAACTTACTTGACGGTATACTTACTTGCTTACTTACTTGTAGGTGATGTACAAATTCTAGCACCACTGACCATGTATTCATGCACTCTTTCCCAACTTGCTCTTTCCAAACTTTCTATGCAGCTCTATTCAAACCGTCAGGAAGTGCGACATCAGGACTCCAATCACGTACCGAATAATCAGTCCGCAACCTTCGAAATCCAGAGATACCATTAGTGGCTTCACAAGCTTTTGTTGAGAAATTCGGGGCTGTATCGTTTTCATCCTTCACAGCCTTTGAGGTCTTAAATCAATAGATGAAGGGTAACTATGTGGTATTTGTGCGTTCATCCAGTAATCAAAGCACCAACGCTGTCTTGCGTTCCGAATGGTGTACTACAAGTGCACCGGCTGTCCAGTGAGGTCTCGTCTACGGAGGCAAAGGAACCAACTGGCAGTCACCTCTCATTACCTTGAACACAACCATAGGTTGTCAAACTTTTTGTAAGCTCGGCTTCCGGTTAACCGACGGCTAACCGAAGACGAGTTGGGCACTTGCAATGCTTTTCTAAAATGTGTAAAGCCGTCATGTGAGGTGCGACAGTTTTTGGCCTATGAATTAAGCAAGATCCTTACCACTCAAGATATATACAGCTGCCGCCGGAAGTGTCGACCGGCCCTGTTGAGTAGGTGCCACATAGTTGGTTTTTATTGTGACAGATGATATGCCTTTGGTCCTGGCAAAACTTTGGGAGATCGGACGCCTGCTTGTGCGACAGTCAGAGGAAGGTCACTATAGCCACATGTGCTTCTCCTGATGTTAGCAGATAGCGTTATTCTGACACTTTCCAGATGTACTGAATGTAGATGGAACGCATGCAACAAACCTCCTTGGGCATTTTTTTAGAGTACCTAATATTCGGCATGTAGATAGGAGTTGTATACCACCTTGGTAACGGATGGCATGGGAACCGGGTGTCCGATTATTTATGTGTTCGTGGAGAGAGAACAGTTTGCCCCCGTGCATAAACTGTTCGACTTATTCAAGGGAATGATGGACGAACATTTTCCAGTTAGGACGTTTGTTAATGGCAGGCCGGCGGCGCAAATGTGTACAGCGTGTTCGGCTGTGACGTGATGCTTTGCCATTTTCTTGTCCGAAAAGCCACCCAGGAGCACGTATGTATCATTTAATATCCATGTATTTTTGAGCATAGACACATTCTGCGTACAACCGGCACTAACAAGAAATCGTTGCTCAATTTTGCACGGTCACTGATGAAATCCTCCATATCCTCATGGTGAAGTTGCAAGACCGGGTTTGGGCATCCGATACATAGATAACTCAGATGGCTTCATATATAAAGTCAAACCATCCGTACGGAAGTCTAGTACATAAGTTTAATGATGAGGCGAGGAATGTCGCAGAGGCTGTGCCATCAGTGTACCATCATACGTGGCCTACTCATTGCTGTAAAACCCCGTTGATGATGAAAAATATTTGGTAAACCGAACCTGGGATTTGCCACTAAACCTGCAACTGCCCTGAATCGTTATTGTAAGTAAACAGTAAAGTTTTTTTATAATCAGTGCACTTATGATCAGCGATAATTGTCATACTGGTGACATCAAAACAGCACGGCGTCTTGAATGAGGAAGTCCTTCACAGATTGGTTGGGTGCTATTAGGACTTGAATGTAAATCTGCCCGCAGCCCTTCACGCCTGGAATTCCACGGAACATTTGACTCCTGAAAGTTTCTGTATATTGTTTTTCCTATTGTGTTATCTAAAGCTCAACAAACAGTCACCGGAAGATGGATGTACCCTCGTGACCGGTCGGACATATCTGGGACGCTGAGCGAAAAATGAGGAATTTGCAAGCATGGAGTCTTACTTTGGGTTGTGTTGCAATGCGATTGAATTTAGTGCTGCAAGCCCGGTAAGTCGTTAAATTGAACTTTGGTTTAAAAAAAAGATAAAAGAATCGCCTCATTGCTTTTGAAAAGCGAAAGAGAAATTTCCAATACTATTTGCACCAATGAAATTCTAAAATATGTTGCACTAAGTCAACCTTTTTGCCTGGTCAACTAATCACTTCGGGTAAACATGAAGAATTACCAATCGGTATCTTCCTTGCCTGAGAGAATACACGAATAGGAATATAGAAAAGCTGACCGTTTTAATCAAATTAGGAACAAATTGATATACGCAAATTATTTCAGAGTAAAAATTGCTTCTCTGCATTGACCCTAACCAAAGTTCTATGAACCCGTTAGAACGAAGGCTGGAAAAGCAAAAGGCTTACAGTCCCACCCAATTTTTGCGCGTCGAGATAAATCGAGTCATCATTCTGCAGTCGTTCAGTTGGCGTCCAAGGAATGCACAGGAAATTCAAGAAAACCGCATACCAGTGCAACGGTGAGGCAAGCGAGTAGTATGTTTTCTCGCAAATATGGTTCGTATCTATTGAAAAGTGAGACTATTTCGGAAGTTGTTGAATTGCTTTGTAGCATACGATTACATTTGAGTGATAGTCAATGAGTATCCAGGAAAGTTCAGGAAGACTCGTTCGAGAAGAGGACGGGTATTCAGTTATATTATGAACAAGATGCATATGGGGGGTTTGCTTCCCTGTCCAATAGTCTGTGACCGTTCAGTCGGTGTTTTCTAATAAATAACTCCTCAACGAAGGCCTTCTGCTTTTTATTGGGTACCGTGACCAGGATAAGGAGGAAGATCCCGTGGCCACAACCTTTTGAAGGTTGAGATAGTTTGACCTTCATGGGGGACTTTGAGGGGGTTGCAGTGGCTCCTGGACTGGATACCGACAGGGTTAAGTTGGCGGTACTGAAGACCCACCTCAGAGGCCGGACGAAGATGGCCCTGGGTGCGGTTAGAAAGGGTCTCGGAAATGGACTGGGCTGCCGCGAAGGAAACACTTGCGGCGGAGTTCGATCCACGTGTCGACTGCCTAGAGGCCATGAGGCGGTTAAAGATGGCCAGGATGGCACCTGGATGTGACCCGACCGTTTTCTTCGCCAACATGTAGCCGGGCTTTGCCGGGCTGGACGGAGTGTTGTACAGCAGCTGCCGTCTGACTAGTTTGTGGAAAATGAGCAGTACGCGCTTGGTGCCTAGTTGCGGTTTGCGAGAGCAACTCGCCAGTTGACTGTGGAGGACATGATGCACCTCGCACGGGAATCTGCCGAAGCACCAATGGCTACGTTGCAGTCGCAGGAGAAGGGGGATGGTCCATCAGTGGGGAACTGCAGACCAGAGTTGGACAAGCAGCGGAACGCTTGCGGCCATCAAAACGGAATTGCAGAAGCACGTTCGAACGACCCGGTGCCAGAAGTATGGCAGGCCTGGCCACATTAAGAATCAATGTCGTTCTACCCTTTCCTCCGTAAATACTAAAATTTTGGAGTACTCCTCTCCTCCTGGGTGGGTCGCGATTGACGCAGTGACACGGGCTACCATAAAGACCGTTATCGAGATAGACGTGAAGATAGGGCTGTGCTTGATTGACATAGGAGCAGGAGTATCGGTAAGACAGAGAGGAAACCAAGTGGAATGCAGATCGCACGTGCTAGCCTTCAGCAATGTGTGGATATCGACTGAAGATTCACGGATAATCAATGCACTCATACGCTCAGGCGACAAGTCCGTCCAGTGCACGTTCCTGACGCTGTTGACTGGCGATGATGATCCGGTTGGCTTCTGCCAGGTGATTGAACACGTAATTCCATTGTCGTCAGAACGCTTTTCGAACTTACGCCCCCGTCAGTTGCTGCTGTCGCGTTTTGTACCTTTATTTTGCTTCCATTATAACGTTAGGTATTTCATCAATTGCGTAATGTTTTTTTTGTTTGAATACAGCAAACTACATAAACGCGCATTTGTTCGGTTTCACAGAATGCAGACGTGGTCACGTGTTTCGACTCTCTCTTCTGATTTCGCTCGCGCTGGCAGCGGTCATTCGCGAGTTTCACGTGCTAACTCTGGTATCAAAACATTTCAGATCGTCTTCGAAATCTATTATATGTGGGAACTGTTTAGAAGAAGACCCCTGGACCACCATGATTGGATTATTGTTTGTTCGCTGACAACACTCCCCTGTTATAGTTATTTATGGGAAACCAAAGCCACTAAAAATTTGGTGAGCCCGACATGACCTCAAATTTGTAGTGGCTTGACTTCCCGGTAAGTAACTATACCAGGAGTGTGTGGCAAAGAAATAAAAAGAATAACGCTAGGTTGGGTATACGATAGTAAAGAGGCCAGGTGGAACGGACTCACTAATAATTGTTCTCTTTAAAATAGTGTCAGCGAACAAACAATAATCCAATCATGGTGGTCCAGGGGTCTTCTTCTAAACAGTTCCCACATATAATAGATTTCGAAGACGATCTGAAATGTTTTGATACCAGAGTTAGCACGTGAAACTCGCGAATGACCGCTGCCAGCGCGAGCGAAATCAGAAGAGAGAGTCGAAACACGTGACCACGTCTGCATTCTGTGAAACCGAACAAATGCGCGTTTATGTAGTTTGCTGTATTCAAACAAAAAAACATTATGCAATTGATGAAATACCTAACGTTATAATGGAAGCAAAATAAAGGTACAAAACGCCACACTGCTCCATCTACACGAGGGGGTCCATAAACAAATTCAAGAGATGTTGAAAAACGCCATAATCAAATAAGCCACTAATGCGTATAACACCCCGGTTGTGTTTGTAGTGATGGCAAACGAAAAATACAGGTTTTGCGTGGATTTTCGGCGTTTGCATGAACTGTCCGCGAACCGGGTTGCCGCCTCGGCTGTGAATATTTTGGATTCTCTCCAGAAATCCCGATATTTCGGTGTTCGACTTGCGTTCCGTATACTGGCAACTTTCTATCGAGGTGGAGGACCGGAAGAAAACGGCGTTCATGGTTGGGAATACCCAATATCAATTTAGACGGATGCCATTTGGTTTGTCTGGGGCGCTTTTCACATTTCGGCGCTCGACACTTCGTCCAACGAAGGGACCCCAGAATGTTTCCGTGTACAGAGATGATAGTATTGTGTACAGCAGTACGGTACTAGGGCATTTGAGAATCATACTAAAGCGTACCACGGAGGCCTGCTTGCGAATAAATGAAACCAAGACAAAACTCGCTCGGAGTTCGGTGACACCGCTGGGGCATAGATTGGGTAACCGAGAGGCTCACCCACTGCCAGAAAATTTGGCAAAGATCGGAGATTGTGCTGTTCCCAATACAAAGCGGTCTCATCGGAGGTTTTTTGAACGAGCAACGTACTACATCCGGTTTGTCAAGGATTTCAACACGATTGCTGCTCCACTGCATGACTTGCTCGGGCAAAATCAGAAATTCGAACGGACCAGGGAAGCACGTGAGGCTTTTGGGCGAGTCAAAGCGCGGATGCTGGATCAGCAACTGACCCCCAAACTGCCCAGGGTTGAAGAAATGTTCACCGTTGCAACAGACTCTAGTGATGGCGGTATCGGCGCAGTTCCAAAGCAGAGGAATGGAGCTATCGAGTGCGCCAGTCATGTCCTGACTAGCGCTAAACAGGAGTACTCGACCAGTGGGAAAGAATTTTTAGCAATAGGCTGGGCTCGGGATAAGTAGAAGCCATTTTTTTCTTGGAAAATGATTTCACGTCAAGACTACCGGACTTCCTTGCGAAAATCTCGCGCGCTCGGTACTCCGGTTGGAAGTGTACGTCTCCGTGATTCAACATGCGCCAAGGAAGTAGAACCACTTAGCTGATTGCTTGTCAAGACCAGAGGCTTAAAATGAAGCTCCCAGGATTATGATTGGGGCAAATGGACTTGTCGTCTAATTAGATCTTGAAGGGTTAGTGCAACTCCAGGAGGATGCTGTGTTATGGAAGGCTGCAACCGGCTTGTTGGATAGAAAGAGTATCGAGAACGGAGATGAGGGACAAGGAATAGGAAACGCTCCAGCGTCACTTTGATCGTCTGAGCCCGAATGAACCTGGCTTAATTCACTGGAACGCGACCAAATCTGAAGTTTTGTGCTTCCCATGATACCCGCGTCTTGAGGAAGCTTATCGTCTAATGGACCAACATGGCACACACAGGGTGCACCAAGAGTGTGACGTGCTTCGGCAGAGAAACTGCTGGCCCGGAATGATAAAGGATTATGTGGTGTCCTGTAAGTGGTTCCAACGACAGTGGCAGTCAATCTCATTGAGCCCACTCCTGTCTTAGAATTCGATGAGTCATTGCTCGTTGACTTCATGGGTCCCTTTCCGTTGATGAAAAGCGGAAATCAGTATATTGTGATAGTGTTAGAACACTTGTTGCGGTGGGTTAGTGCAGAAGTCGTGCCCAGTCAACGGGCGAGGACGACCAACAGAGTGGTATTGCATCACATTGTGGCCAATCATTGCCGAAAGTGAGTGTGACGTGCTTCGGCAGAGAAACTGCTGGCCCGGAATGATAAAGGATTATGTGGTGTCCTGTAAGTGGTTCCAACGACAGTGGCAGTCAATCTCATTGAGCCCACTCCTGTCTTAGAATTCGATGAGTCATTGCTCGTTGACTTCATGGGTCCCTTTCCGTTGATGAAAAGCGGAAATCAGTATATTGTGATAGTGTTAGAACACTTGTTGCGGTGGGTTAGTGCAGAAGTCGTGCCCAGTCAACGGGCGAGGACGACCAACAGAGTGGTATTGCATCACATTGTGGCCAATCATGGGGTGCCGAAAGTGATGCTGACCAAGCAGAGTCCTTGCTTTGGTAGCGAAGTGCAGAAGCTGCTTGGAGATGCTGGACATCAGGCAACCAAGAGTAGAACCATACCACCGGCAAATAAATAGTCA